TACAGTGGGTTCGCAGTAATTCCGAAAAACGCCCACTTTTACACCAAAACTTACACTTTTTAAAAGCTTATAATTCTATTAAATAATATATTAAAGATATAAATTCTTCTATAAATATATAATTAAATACTTATGAATTATAAATATTATTTTTATAATATTTTTAAAATTTTATTTCTTATTTTATTTAAGTTTAAAATAATTAAACATTCTTAAAATTTTAACCTATTTTTATTTTTAAATTTTACTTTAAATAAAATAATATAAAATATTAAAAATATATATAAATAATATTTAAGTATTAAATTATTAAATAATAATTTTAGTATTTATTTTACTTTTATATATTATTTAATATAAATTTTTAAAAAGTATAAGTTTATTTTTTAAGTGGATTTTTTTTTTTTTTCGGAATTACTGGGACCGACTGTATATCCTGCTACAGACTGTGGAGTCTCAGAGCCAAATCTCAAATCGAGCCAGCAGGCCTGGTTGAGCTACTTGTCATCTCAAACACACAGTAACGTCCATGTCTGCGATTCTGATTCCCCAGTGCATTTTCCTATGAAGATTCGCATCATTATTGCGCTTGAGACGTCATACCTCTTTCATCGAACCCCCCCACCAAAGGGAGGGCGAAATGCCAACTTTGGCGGGATATGCTACATCCAGCAAATCAAGCTGGTTTCCGGTCGCACTCTGGCCATATTTGTGATGCAACCATGCCCACCGTTGTCGCTCTTGACATGTAATGGTTGTGTAACCATGGCACCTTCGTGACGGCTTGCCAATGCGTAAAGTTGCGATACCGGGAGATGAAATGTCTCAATGAACGGCCTCGTCATCGTGACGACTAAACCCCTTGCGAGCGCCGTGGACGCAACAGCGGGAGCATGTTAAATTTCGAGCTTTCAAGCTACTTGTATATCTGCGGACTGCAGCAATGCACACACGTCTCGCCACCCGAGTTTTATAATTAACTACATCAGATCACATCCGAACGCTACAACGCCTGCATGTCTTTATCGCATTATAATCAATCACTTCAAGAGCCACATAAAAATCAAAAGGCCCTGAAAGACAAGTCTCTCGGAACTACTCCCAATTTCAAAAGCCGCCTCGACGGTAAGGTCTTTGTGATATGCGGGAATCTTGTGTCGCAGCGATTCACTTCACTGATGTCCAAAGATACCCGCAGCCCTACGCCGTCTAGCGTTTCAATATACGACACCGAATCCAGCTCGTGTAACGATGGTCCAGATATTGGCAACCCGTATAGCACGATTCTATACACGAACGTATATGGCAACACGGCGCCACCCCTGACAAGGCTAAATATGCAACATTCGCCCGTTCCAGGAAGTTCTGAGACACAATTCATCAACCCAAGCGACGTGATGGCATGGAAACCCCTTTCTACAAGAGAGTCAACTGATTCTAATTACATCACTTCCACCAGCCGCCTACATGACATGAGATATATTGCTGTCGAGCATATTTCAGCGTGTGTCGCCAACACCGTTGACTTCTACCCAGACTACGGTTGGAAACAGCCACCAGTGCTGCCAGATACGCAATGGCTGGAGGCCAACGATGTTGAAATGCAGCTAGACAAAGGAATAGACGCTGAGACTACTCAGCGGACCAAAAGTGGCTTACCGGCGCAGCTTACCGGACAATACGCTCAATTGCCAGTTATGATGGACAGCAATAGTAGCTCTGCAGGTGTTAGGGACGAGGCAGAGAGGCTTAAGATAATCTTGATGGATTTGACGGAGATGGAAAATAGACAACGACATCATACACAAAACCAGCTAAAGCTTATCGGCGATGCCTTATAGCAGCAGTTTCTGTACTCCACGAAACCCGGTACATATCTGTATTCTCTCTCTTCAGAAATATCAATAACTGTATAGTATAGTCAAGCCTGGCAACTTAAACCGCACTGTCTAATTTCAGTGTGACCACCCAGGGGACCGTCACTGTTAACCCAAAATACTCAAGCTAAAAGACGTAGCGGAAATTAAGATTCTCTTTATCCATCAGATGCTCCCACGCATGCAACATTCGCTGGTCTCGAGGCACAATGATGATGTAAAAGCCCAGCACCATGGCCAGTAGCTGCGTCTCCAAGACGGAGAAGCCCATACTCTGAATCACGATGCATCTCTGCCTCATGGCGGCACGCAGCACACACATGACATACCTGGAGCACAACGGCCAGCAGCTCTGGGACGATACGCTCATGATGACGGTCCTGCCGCTGGCCAAGATTGGTCTTGTCTTCGACCGGCCGCACTATGTGGCCGGGGCCAAGGGGCAGTTTCCGCTACACATCCAGTACCTGTTCGACGCGAAGACGGGGCTGTTTTCCCACGGGTGGACGTTACACGACGACCGACATCATTTTGCGGGAGCCCGCTGGGCCAGGGGCAACAGGGGGTTGACGATTGAGATCCCCGAGTTTATCGAGCTATTGGATCTGGACAGGTCAAGTCCGATGGGCCTCTGTGTAGCCACTTGCAAGCTACGTTGGCCGCGCAATGCGAGGCTCTCAAGACTCTCCAGTCGCCAAACGGGCTCTGGCGCACTCTACTAGATGTTTCCGAGGAGGATGGGTCATATGGCGAGTCCAGTGCCACTGCTGGCCTCGCATTCGGCTTGTTAAAGGGCCAGCGGAAACGATATATTCAGGGAGAGTACCAGTATGTCGCGTTGAAGGCTGTGCGAGGCGTGCTTGAGAACATCAGTCCCGACGGCCGGTTGCAGAATACTTCTTTTGGAACGGGCATGGGGTCGGATTTGGAGTTTTATAAGGAGATTCCAATCACGCCTATGCTTTACGGGCAAGCCATGGCGATACTGGCGTTGGTTGAGTTGTTAAACATCTTCATCTAGCAGGCAGAGGTTAAAATCTTTTTGCAAGCATTCGCCAAGCATAGCTAGCAATGTCCCAGCTCAACCCGCACCATAGTTTGTCACTGCTATAACCACTGCCTTTCTAATTGTCAAATGACAAGCGCCTTGAATCACATTGCTCTGCCCTCCTCTCCCACCGAATATAAGTTAAAATTTCCGCCAACTCCAACCGCATCTGTTAAGCCGTATAGTGACCACATGCAGTGTATATCGTCAACCTGACCACCTGAACCAAACCAACGCCTTCAAATGCTGAGCATGAGCGCCTAGAATGCCATACCTCACCCCTATTACCTAGCCATTATTCTATTCACATGGAGCTACCTTTGTTTGCAAGGCTATCATCTCCGTCATTATCACTCGATGAGGTCGCCACTCCCTTGCCCTTATCCCGTGGCTCGCGCTTTATCGACAAACCTACTTTGCTCTCCTTCATGCTTCGTCGACTGACAGGTCGTTTGCCGTACCCTTTCCTAGGTGTGACATCACCCTTGCCCCTCTTCCGTCGCTCGTACTCACTACTAGCAATTCCTGCTTTAAAGTTATCTCCGGACGAGTTGAGTTGCGACTGCGGTGCAGTAGAGCTATTCTTCAAATCTCGCATTTCCTTGATGACATCCGCAAAGCTCTCTTCCAGCGTTTTCATACGTGCTAGGACCAGCCTCCCCATCCTATCACGGTCTGCAGCCTCGAGCCCTCCAGCAGCACGCATCCGGCTGTCTTTCATCAGGGCCATTGCCATTTGTGTCTGGAAGCTGCCTGCTAGCCCGGCATTGTTGTCCTCGATACCCATATTGTCAGACATGAGACTCAGGTCAACTGACGACAGCCGTCTAGCTTGCCTAAGCCTGTCACGAGGGGCAAGGCTGAGCATTGCTGACTTGCTCACACCACCGCTGTCGGTCATGTCACGTGGCGCTAGAATCGGTCGTGGCTTTGAGGTTGATAGCTGAGGCGCTCTTCGAGGGGAGTTGTGCCGGGTTGTATGAGCGGCAGTATCTGTACCAGTGGTACGCCCGCTCGTGTTGGGTCTTCGAAAGGGGATCGCCTTGGGTGGTGAAACGGGCGGTGCAGGTTGAGGCTTAGGTTGGTCCTCTGGGTTGTACAGAATGGTGTTTGTTGATAATGTGCGGGCGTGGGCGCCACGTCTTGAATGTGTCTGACGAATTGTTGATGCAGCTTTTGCGAATGATTCATGAGAGGATGCCAGTTTAGCTGATCGGGCTCCCATAGAAGTTGTGAAATAGTCCTCGCCATCTTCCACACCATGCTTTTCAAACTGTTGACTGCGCCCAGCGTTGGTCGCTTCATCTTCATCCTCATCGTTTGTGACCAGCTCATCGTCACCATCTGCGTCTGTGTGATCCTTGTACTCGGGAAGAATCAATTCTACCCTTGATCCACGACCCTTGGCGTTACGGAATGATGCACCAGGGTTGGACATGAAATCTGCTGGGTCGCTCGCTGTAGATCTCACATCGGACACTTGTCGTAGATGTGAAGAAGGCTTGTCCCAGCCAACACTCATCCTCCTTTGCCAATCTGGCACAGCCCGGCTGTCGAGCGTTGGCCAATTCGTAGGCGGCATACCCTCTTCATCGTGTTGCTCCATCCAGTTTCGGATGGCAGTCTGTGTCTTGCGTCGCTCATTTCTTCTCTGGGTGCGTAATGTTGTCGCATCCGGCACACGACGAAAGACTTCCTCAAGCGCTCGATCTTTGTGAAACCCTGCAACGGACTCCTCGCGTACACGTACATTAGGACTGAACATGACCGTACGCTGCGCCGCATCTCCAAAAGAGATTGCGCGAGTCCGGGACCGACCGGGGTTCTCAACAAGATCTGTAGGCTCAAACATGGAAGGCGCAAGCCAAAATCGTTCATACAAAAAAATCATGAACAGAACTGGGAAATGCGTGACCTTGATAATAGTTCGATTCAGAAAGACGAAGTGCTTCAAAGGCATGCAATAGCGCAGTGGCATCAGCAGCCAGGCAAATATATTGCTGGGGGCAATATAGGAAAAGAGTGCATCGTTCTTGACCATGGAGATGGTGTTGATCGCAAATACAAATCTAAGTATCGATTAGCAGTGACTAGACATGAAGAAGAGGGTCTTCAATACTCACTGGTGTTCTTCCGTAGCATTGGAAGCAATCGCCATGAAAGAATTGGTCAAAACAGTAATAAGAATTGTTCTTCAGCTTATGTCAGCATATGTTCTTTCTTGACACGCACGCATTGAGGTAAAGGCTACATACACAACCAAGAAATGACAAATAATGAGAAAAATCATCATTAATATTCTCGCCAACCAATTATATGTCGGCCACCTAACAAGCGTCAGCAATTGGTATCCTCTCACGGGATTATAAGGGATTAGCTCACACGTCCCAGGCGGCAGGAGTAAAGCCCATAAGAATCTGGAATATCTTGTAAGCAACCTCACCACCATTGCTTGCATTCTGGGATAGCGTGAAAAAGACAAAGAATCCACTGCACATGATCAAAACCAGGACGAACACAGCAGCCAGGTCCACAGCCATGAGCCGGAATGCGATTAGAAGCTGTGAGAAGTACTGATAATGATCCAAAATGCTGAAAATCCGGGGCAGAAGTAAAATAGCATTGGCGGCTAAAACGTCATAAGCCATGGCATTCCAGTGATGGGGGTCAACCAAGAATACACCATACGCTCGCATGCAGTAGTATGCTATCAACAGCACAAGGATTCCGAGATCAAAAATATTCCAAAAGCTCATGATATAGAGAGCAAATCCTTGCTCGTTGAAGCCGACAAGCTCATCCAACATAAACCCCGCACTCCAGAACCAGAAGACCAACTCCAGCCCTGTAATCTTGACGGATCTCTGTGACAAGACGGCAAGAAAAAGACCAATCAAGACAGCAAGTGATAACGTAGACAGAAAAGACCTATACCGTGGCACTCGAAGACGGGAAAGCTTGAACATGGAAGCCTGTCTAGGGTCATAGAGCATAACAGTTCTCCTTCCGGATGGAACGTGGTACTGTCCTGGCTTTGCTGGAAGCGATCCAAGTAACGGAGTCCTGGAATCCGGCTTTGCAATCTCCCCATTCATACCTCCCAAGGGACTGGGAGGTAGTTCGCGATGCAAACTGTCAGCAGAAGAATAGAAAGTAATGGCTCCGTTCCAAATGGCTTCCAGCTGTTGAATAACGACCGGATGTGCGAGAAAATGTTTGGCAGAAGCGCGGATGGCCACTTCCAACGTTGAAGTCCTTGATGCGGTCATGGCTTGTTTACTTTTGCTGTATGACCTGCCCTCTGGAAGAGGAGGCTGTGCTCCTGGGAGTCCTTGGAGGGGGTAGAAGTCATATGCCAAGGCATCAATGAGTTCTCTGGTAGAATATTCCTTCAAGAGCTTGAGAGCAAGCAATTCGCACACCTTGGCTCTGGTGTTGCTGATACCAGCATTGGCAGCATACCTTTGTCCTTCCTTGGAGAACTGTAAGCAATTTGCCATCAAGGCGTATATAGTAGCCCTCGAGAAATGCTGTGTTCTAATCTGCTGCTGCATGGGTTTTACGAGGAACTGGGAGACCTGAGGGGATCGAAGCTGGTCCCATGATAGCGTTGTCTCGGTACGAGCGCTCACAATTATACGAATAGAGTGGGTAATACTGTATATCGGCAGGGTATCTGGAAGAAGGGTATGTCAACTTTGTTCAAACGTCAAATAAAAAGGGGCTTTTGGGGGGGGGGGGGGGGGGGATTTTGCCTCAAAAAAAAAATATAACGTTTTATTC